TATCTCAGAGGTAGCAGGTATTTGTTTATTCAGCACTGGGCACAAGGGGGATCGCTCCACTAAACTTGCGCAACCAGGGACAAAAACTTCACAGTTTATATACATTAAAGAACTCATACATATTCATTATTTCCAATAGGTGGTCATTATTACAATTAGTTCTTGGAAATCATTATCATTATCTCCTCCTTCATCTCCTCCCACTTGGCATTAGTCCCACGGTCTCTGGTGGTCGTCCGGGGGTCGTCGGGAGGAAGGACGATGGTGTTCATCAGCTTGACATTTGAGTTTGGCACATACTGCTAGGTCATGAGTCCAGCTGCATCTAGTTTTTCTTCCTTGTTTTACGCTACCTAAGCTAAAATAATGCCCTAAGTTCTACCCTTTTCATGCTTAATAAACTAAGACAATTCCTTATTAATCAACCTTTTTCTTCTTGTTTATTCAGGTGCTTTCTACCTGACTATCCCCTATCCTACTCTTTGCTTTGGCTATTTGATTCTTGTTATCACCAGTATATGGCTACATGTGAGTCTCTGCATATTTCATGAGCTGCTGCCCCTCTTCCCTTCTCAGTAGCCTCTGGGAACATCCTCCCATGGCTAGGGTGCTGTGTTACCTTGCACTGTTTAGGGTATTTTCATATTGCATGTAGGAAGTGGGAAAACCATAGGGCAGTTTTGTCCTTTGGCTCTACCCAGGTCTCCAGGGGATTCACTTGCTGATATTACACATTTTTTGCATCCAAGTAGCAAAGTAGGTGGCTGGAATTCCCAATTTCTTACAATCAAATCTTGTCATGATGGGAAAAGCATGCCTTGTATGCAAAGGCAAGAATTTATCAGCAGTATGTTTGAAATCTTGAGAGTTTTGCTCAAGAATTATTAGCCTGGTTACAATATTAAGACTTACATTTCAGATTATGCATATTATAAATTTAAACACACCAGTTTTTTAGTATCTTCCCCATTCTCTGGTGTTATGCTCACCCTTTCTCTGCCCCACTTGTTCCTCAGGTCGATGGCTTCAGCCCGAAGGAGAGGGATGGCAGAATGGCCACATACTGCATCCTCGCTGGGAGGAGCACAGGAGTGGTGGATGCAACCTCTGTGCTGCTTGGGGTCACTGTTATACATTTGCTTACATGCTCTTCTCCTTGCTTCTCCTTAATTGATTCACATTGATTTCCTTCATTTCCTTCACAGTACACCTGAGCTTGCTACCTGTGCTGTATTTCACATACACTGTGTACTCAATCTGTTCTCTCAGTTATGCCCCAAGCTGATTTCAGCCAGCTGCCAAGTCTGCAATGCTTTGATTACCAGTAACTGAGCACTGGCAAGATCTTTATAGCTCTGAGGCATCTGGTGTCATCCTGTGCCTGTACTCTCCTGTCCCTTGCTATCATCCTGCCATGTCTGTACTCCTTCATTTTTCATTCTACAGCCATAGACACTTCATTCTAGGTAGAAGAACTACTTGTTCTCAATATGTCCTGGTTACAGAAATATCTGTATGTGTATTGATATGTAAATATTATACCATACAATTGTATAAAGCTCAGGAAGAATTTAAACAAATTAGGTAATAGCACCTGATTGCTGTATAATTACTCTTACAAACAGAAGCTAAAACAAAACCCCAGGCAGGCCAGGACAGGTCCAAGAAAAACCTGACAAGTGCAGAGCCCCGAGGCCTGTGCTGTTAGTTTAAGACAAGGCAGGTCACTGTGTTACAAGCAACAACAGTGCTGCATTTG